TCTGGTTCTCCAGTCCTCAGTTCAACAGAGTCAGTGCCCGGAGAGCTTCCCCTAAGTTGTCTCTGTCATTAAACCACCCTGCTTCGGTTGTTAGCCTAGACACAACCCCAACTAACGTACAAAAAGAAAAATTATTTGACCTAATAATAAATCCTCAAAAAGTTAATAAGTCAACAGTGCACTCATGATTATGTGGTCCCTATTCACAAAGAAGGGTGTAAAATTGTAAATAATTGGTTAAGAACAACATAAAAACACATCACAAAGAAGAAATAGCACAAAACAGTATATCATCATTAGATAAATTAATAGCCTAGTCTGTAAATGGTAGGAAGGCTTAGAGGAGAAAACAGCACAAGCTTGAATGATCTGAAAGCTTACATAGATCAATAAACATTACTGGGTGAGTCCCTGATATGATTACCTAAGTCAAATCTGAACAAAATAGTGAATGCAGTTCTCCTTCCCTAATACACCAAAAGCAGAGTGTGAGAATAATTCTGCACCTAGTCTGCGAAGTACTCTACTACTGGACTATGAAAGTCAACACTAGTGTGTTACAAAAAGACAGATCTCCCCAACACTAGTCCTAAGTAACCAGTCAACTTACTCTGAACATATTTGGCAGTTAAGTGCACATTGTAAGTGGAGAAGAACCGTCAATTAAAGAATTATGAAAAAAATGTATAAAGTCAACCAAAACACTGCCTAGAGGTTGCAGAAGCATTCTAAAGAACTACCATACCCAAGAGAGGAGCAAGAAAGCCTTGCAGAAGAAAGATAATTAGCTAGGTCTTAAAAAATAGATGAGTTTACAAAGGAAGAGGTAAAAGAGGGGCATTCTAGGAAGATTGGTCAATATAAATAAATAATGAAAGACAATAACATAAGTAAAACCACAGTGTGCACAGGTGTGATGTGTGAGGGAGGCAAGAGGAAATCAGGATTAGATCCACAAGGAAGCAGGGAACGGGCTGTGGAGGGTGTGTTCTGTTGTAACACTAGAAATAATGGGATATAGAAATCTGCTATGACCAGATTTAAATCATGTGCTTACCCTTGTTGACTAGGGAGACATCCATTCCTCTCAAAGCACGTGAACTAAAAATAAAACTGTGAGATGGTGTGGAGGATTATTAAGCAGGTTTTAAAAAAAGAGTCAGATGGGCTCATAGCAGTCTATCCACCAAAGAACTCAATAACGATAACATGTCTCATACCCCTGAAGACTAATCTAAAATTCAAAATGTGTAGAAACCTGATACATCTGCTAAATTGAAGGCACCATAAGAGTAGACACATGCACATGTCTGTCTGGTAACTGCCATAACCAGTGCATTGTTAGTGATCAACAAAATTCATTTAATACATAAATTAACGCATTCATTTCATATGACCATTCATTTTATAAAGTTGGTGTTTTCCATTTCTTATACAGAGATATTATTTAGTTAATGAAATTTTTGGTAATAATTTGATATTTTCTGAAGATTTACTAAGAATAAATGCCTCTGGGATGTAGAGTTTGCTCAGTGATTGAGAGCATGGACTGCTCGTGCACGGCACCCGTTTGGTCCCCAGGACCTGTGTCAGGTGGCTCACAACCACTTGTAACTCCAGCATCAGGGGATCCAACACCTGTGGCCTCCATGAGCACCTTCCCTAATGTACATGGACCCACACACAGACACACATAAAGATGAAATAAATATTGAAAAAAGTAAATGGTTCAAAATTTAGAATATAGATTTTAAGTGTACTCATAAAACTTGGTTATAAAAATAAGACTTACCTTCCCAGAGAGGATGCAAATTGCCTTTATCAAAGATGTTTGGTGCTGGTAGATATTCCTTTAAATACAACCTGCCTTCTTTAATGGAGTGAGATGGACACATTGAGCTTCAACAAATTAAACTACAATTTCTCTTTTTTTATTATTTATTTTATGTCCCAGCCACAGTTTCACCTCCCTCCTCTCCTCTCAGTCCCTCCCCCTATCCCATTGCCCCTCCCCAATCCACTCCTCCTCCACTTCTGCTCAGGAAAGGGCAGGTCTCCCATGAGTGTCAACAAAACATGGCATATCAAGGTGCTGTAAGACTAAGCACCTCCCCATGTATTAAGGCTACACAAGGAGATCCAGTATTAGGGGCAGAGTCCCAAAAGCCAGTATAAGAGTCATAAAGCCCCTGTTTCTACTGTTAGGAGTCCCAAAACCGGACCAAGTTACACAACTGTAGCATATGCAGAGGGCCTAGGTCAGTCCTATGCAGGCAGGCTCCCTGGTTGTCAGTTCAGTCTCTGTGAGCCCTTAAGAGCCCAGGTTAGTTGATTCTGTGAGATTTCTTGTGGTGTCCTTGACATGTCTGACTCCTACAACAATCCTTTCCCTCCTTCTTCTGCAGGATTCCCTGAGCTCCACCTAATGTTTGTCTGTGGTCTGCATCTGCCTCCATCAGTTGGTGGATGAAGCCTCTCTGACGACAATTGGGCTAGGCACCAATCTGGTCACAGGAGATCGTTAGTTCAGGCTACATATCCACTATTGTTAGGAGTCTTAACTGGGATCATCCTTGTAGATTCCTGGGAGATTCACTTGTGCCAGGTTTTTGCCTGGCACTGAAATCTCCCCCTCCCCGACTTTCCAATAGTCTTTTTCAGTACTCTTCCCCCGTCTTCCACCACTCCAACCTGATGACTCATGTTCCCATCCAATCACAAAGTCTCCTCTCTTTCTCCTTCTCGGGGAGATCCAGGCATCCCCCCATGAAGAATCCTTGTTACCTAGTCTCTCTGGGTCTGTGGATTATAGCACAGTTATCCTTTATTTTACAGCTAATACCCACTTAAAAGTGAGTACACGCCATGTTTGTCTTTCTAGGTCTGGGTTACCTAACTCAGGATTTTTTTTTTCTAGTTATATCCATTTGTCTTCAAACTTCCTGATATCTTCGTTTTTAACGGCTATTACTCCATTGTGTAAATGTACCACATTTTCTTTTTCTATACTTCAGTTGAGGGACTCTAGCTTGTTTCCAGGTTCTGGCTATTATAAATAAAGTTCCTATGAATATACTTGAGCAAGTGTCTTTGTGATATGATTGAGCATCCTTTGGATATATGCCCAAGAGTGGTATAGCCCAGGTCTTGTGGTAAATTGATTCCCGGTTTTCTGAGAAACTGCCAAACTGATTTCCAAAGTGGCTGTACAAGTTTGCACTCCACCAACTATGAAGGAATGTTCCCCTTGCTCCACATCCTCTCCAGCATGAACTGTCACTTGTGTTTTTATCTTAGCCATTCTGACAGGTGCAAGATGAAATCTCAGAGTTGTTTTGATTTGCATTCCCCTGATGGCTAAGGATGCTGAACATTTCTTTAAGTGTTTCTCTGTCATTTGAGATTATTCTACAAAGAATTCTCTGTTTAGGTCTGTACCACATTTTAAAAATGGATTATTTGGTTTTTAGATGTCTAGTTTCTTGAGTTCTTTATGTATTTTGGAAATCAGCCCTCTGTTGGATATGGGGTTGATGAAGATCTTTTCCCATTCTGTAGGCTGCTCTTGTAAAATGTGATGTTTCCTAGAAAAGGAAAGAAAACTCATCCTTACTGCCTGGCTTCCTTTGCTATAGCGACACCTACTGTTACTGACAATACTTTCTGAGAAACTAAACTGAAAAATAACTATTATATTTATGTTTTTTAGCTTATTCTTCTCTCATATATTACATCCCAACCATAGTGTTCCTTCCCTCCACTCCTCCAAGTCACTCCCCAACTCACCCTTCTCAAAATCCACTGTTCTTCCTTTTCCCTTCAGAAAAGAGCAGACCTCCCAGGGATATTATCAACTGAACACAGATACAATAAGACTAGGCACATATCCTCATTTCAAGGTTGGACTAGGCAACCTAGGAGGAGGGAAAGGGTCCCAAAGGCAGGCAAAAATGTCAAAAAAAACCCCTCCCCCCTGTCCCACTTTTGGGAGTCCCACAAAAGCCCCAAGCTAAACAATCACAGCATATAGGGAGGACCTAGCCAGACCCATACAGGCTCCCTGATTGTCACTTCAGTCTCTATAAGCCCCTGTGAGCCCTGCTTAGTTGATTCTGTGGGCTATGTTCTTCTAGTGTCCTGGACCCATCTGGCTTCTACAATACTTGCTTCCTCTCTTCCTCAAATTTCCCCAAGTTTCACCTAATGTTTGGCTGTGGGTCTCTGTATCTGCTCTCATCAGTTGCTGGATGAAGCCTCTCTAATAGCAATTGGGCTAGGCTCTGGTCTATGAGTGTAGCAGAATATAATTAGGAATCATTTCAGTGTTTTTTTGTTTGTTTGTTTGTTTGTTTGTTTTGCCAGTGGTGTTTGGTTCTATCTTAGGCCAGCCTTTGGTTCCTGGTCATCCAGGAAGTGTCAGGTATGTGCCCCTCTCATGGCATGGGCCTCAAGTTGGACCAGTTATTGGTTGGCCACCATCACCCCCAAGCAATACTTGCAGGCAGAAAAAAATTGTAGGTCAAAGGTTTTGAAGCTGAGCTACTGTCCCAGTCCACCACTGGAAGCCTTGACTGGTTACAGAAGATAGGGGGCTCTGTATCTCCCATTACTAGGAGTCTTCACTACAGTCACCCTCAAAGATTCCAAGGAGTTTCCATTGCACTAGGGCCCTGGCCTCAAACTCAAGAGATCCACTAGCCTCTGCCTTCTGAGTGCTGGAATCAAGGGTGTGTGCCACCATGAGCACACTTGGGTAGACCTCTGCCTCTTTATGTTTCATATCTCCAGAAAGTAACAGGCAGAAACACCTCTGGGACAGCATGACTTGGCAAGTTGAAAAGATGCAGAATTCACTTCTAGATCATCTTGTTCAGAAGATATCTATAGCCAGGCTTGCAGTCATCTAAAGAGACCCCAACTTTTTAAATGTTTATGTTCTGAGTGGGAATAATCTACACCATTTATTATATTTTAGAATATTTTTATTTATTATTGCCATTTTCATACATGTATATTATGTGTCATATCCATGTCCCCAAAACTCCTCCCCAACCACCCAACCCCCTTCCCAAATTATTCTCCTCTTATCTTCATGTCTTCATCCTTTTTCTTGTTTTCGTTTTATAACCCACTGAGCCAAATTAGTGCTACTTCATGACGATGAGTGTAGGGCCATCCACCATCCAGAGCACGGACAACCCACCAACAGTCAAGTTTCCAAAGAAAATGACTCCCACTCCCCAACAGCCAACAGCTGCCAATAGTTCCTCTAATGAAGGTGAAGCTTCTTGGTTTTCTCTGTAGAGCTCCACTTCAGATCATCCACACTCTGCACAACATCATCTCCCTTATCTTAGTCATGTTTTTTTGTAAAGCTTGAAACTCCCTGAAAAAAAAACCTTGTCTTTATTTTTTAATAGTTTATTGAGTTGGCCTAGAATTTAAGCTCCATGTGGTAGACACATTTTCTTTCTGCTTGTTGTCACATCTGAATATTTTTTGAGTGAATGGTTGTATTTTCACATTTACCGTCTAAGATTTCACAGAACTAGATTTAAAGTCTTATTCAACCATCTATAGGCTAATAGTGGAGTTGTGCTTTTCTGCACCCTGTATTTTAGAAAATGCCTTGCTCCTGACCTTAGTCTAATTGGCTGAGGAGTCTGACCCCACCTTTCAGCTCCAAGGATAGCAGCTAAGAGAGGATAGGCTCTCAGAGAATTCAACCACCCAGCTACAGCAGTTGATCCCTGATACCACAGCCCCCCAAATGTTCTGCATAGTGTCTGATCACAGTAGACAGGTTAATGTCGGAAAAATCAAACAGAAATTTGTTAATATCTCTATTTTATACACATGAAGGAAACGTCAGGTAATGAGTAGCTCTCAGAGATGGGTGAACTCCCAGCTGGAGAGCAACTTTAAGAAAGAACAGAGAATTTTTAAAAAGAAACAAGCTGATGGGAAAGGACTCTAAGCCTCTAGAAATGGCAGTTTGATCTGTGCAATGAAGGGGTGAAGACAGTGAGAGGTTCTCATGAATCCCAGGCTAGCTTTGAACTCTATGTAGCTCAAGGATGACTTTGAACTCCTGACCCTCATGCCTCCAGTTCCTAAATGCTGGGATTACAGTCATGTATCACCTCACACTCTGTTTTTGTGGTGCTGGGACCTGAATCTAGGACTTCACACATGTTAAACAAGCACTCAGCCAACGAGCTGAGCTTCATCCCCAGCCCCAAATGTGGCAATATGGAGTGGGAGCACATAATGGGGAGAGACGGCTTAACTGTTGAAGATTGTCAATGTCAGCTCCTCTATCAATATCCAGATGATAAGGGTCTGAAGTTGTCTTTAGTGGACAATTTTTTTCCTTGGGTTGTGAGAGAGATGATATTTTATCTTTGTAGATATATGCACTAGTTTTAGGCAAATATAGGGAAAAGAGAAAGGTGCTTTCTATCTGTTCCTTTTTAATTTCCTTCAGCTCAACCATCCATCATAGTTGGGGGTGGCATGAAAGCCAAATTATATCCATTTAGACTCATTCCTGGGACTTTGTCTGGAGCTCTCCAATTAGTGCATTCCTTGGGATCTGTATAAGCAGAATATAACTCAAAGGATCTAGACACCATTTTTGTTACTGCATCAGAAGTGGCTACCAGAAAAAATAATCCAACAAGGAAGGAAAACTGAGAGGTACAAAGACACATCTGATGACCATTTAATCTCTGGTTCCAAAGAGTGCTAAATACTTAACTCTTTCAACTTTCCAAGAATAAAACTTATTTAAGCTAGCTGGGTTGGACCTCTCTCCCTTGAAATGCAAAGAGTCATGAATATGGGAAGCATGGTGGGAGTCTTCCTCTGGGTATCTGCAAAGCTGTCACCAACCAATTCCTGACTGGGGGGGAAGAAGTCAGTTGCTGCCGAAGTTAGAAAAACAAATGACAGTGACAGCAGTGTGCTTCAGACATACCTGGTATCCTGATGACCACAGTGCCTCTAACATTGCCTACAGAATGCACATTAACAAGACATGCAGGAACAGCAGAGTCCAGCTTGTAGGACATAATCACTAACATGCAAAATACACAGTGGAGAAACACTCTGTTGTCAGATCTGCCCACAAGAGGGCAATCATCACATGAGAAATCTAAAATAAGTACTGCACCAGAAGGGAGGAGTCATAGAGATGTGGGCTGGATGAAAGAGAATAGAATCAAAAGAATCCAGCAGAGCAAACAGAACACTGAGCAGAAGGGAAGTTAAGAGACAAGTTGGATTGAAATAAGAAAGACAACCAAAACTGAAGTGTGGGTGCATTTTAGAACTACCATGCCTTAGTCCATCCATGCTAGTTTGACATCATATGATCACATGCCAGTATGGCCTACTGGGTAGATTATAAAAATCAGAAATTTATTTCCTATAGATGCTGAAAAGTCCAAATTCAAAGTGGATTCCCTGTCTGACTAAGGTGTGCTTCACAGCTCATCGATGGCCCCTCCTGCTATGTCCTCAGCATGTTATAAAAAATCCTTTGATCTTCTTTTGTAGAGACACTAATCCCATTCAGAAAAACTCCACCGTCATGACTAATCAGCTCCTAAATGCCGGCAACACCCACCCACACATTCAGACAGGGGATTAGGATTTCAACATTCGGATCTGGGGAAGGAGACAGAACTATTCTGACCACAGCAACCTTAGACACTGATCCTCTGGCAGAAGCTCTAGCCAGACTTGCTGGACCAGCTGCATATCTTTGAAATATCAGGAACTCTACCTTGATATATTATACCAGGGACTAATTTACCCAGCTAATAAATCAAAGTAGGTTCAGACACCCTCTTGAAATAAATAGTCCTGCTTCTACACAGAAAAAAATAAAGCTTCAAAAAGCTATACACACCATAAATGAAAAAAATCACCATGTATGTGACTTGAAAAGAACTAGCCTAGAAAATAGCTGAGCACAGTGTCCAGTCCTTTATATTATTCAACACATAAAGGGTCATGCTATTGATCTTTTTAATCACCCAAATACTGATGAGCATAATGCACAAAGTAATTACAAGAGCAGCCCTCAGTGGAAAGATGAATGTATTCTTGTATCATATGGACAAACCTAACTGAAGTCAACACAAATGTTCATATGAGCAAAGTAACCTGTGGACAAGTATGAGTAGCTTGATATCTCAAAATAAGGCACACCAGAGCAACAAAAATAGGAAACAGAAAATTTTGAAGACAAAGAACTGGAGTTTTCCAGTGAATCCAGATGGAACTCATAAATCTCTGGGTCTCAGCGGGGTGGTGGTGGCACATGCCTTTAATCCCAGCACTCGGGAGGCAGAGGCAGGTGGATTTCTGTGAGTTCAAGGCCAGCCTGGTCTACAAAGGAGTTCCAGGAAAGGTGCAAAACTATACAGAGAAACCCTGTCTCAAAAAAAAAAATCTCTGGGTCTCTGAAACCTACCCCAGCCTCCAGAGCACCTCTTAGCACCTTCCCCGAAGAATCTATCTACCTTTCAATTGTGTGTTAGTCAAAAGTCCACCATAGCAGTCGTCATTGTAAAATAATTCATTTTACTTTCTTGGCTGCCTCCATTATTACCCCAATAGCCAAAATACAACCTTAAAAACCTACCTCTGTAAACTTAACCCAAAGCGTGGAGCTAGACAGGTGAGCAATGAGAAAATATACAATGATGAATATGCATGCCTCCGTAAAGGTTCAACACCCCATTCCAATGCATCTGTCTGGGTAAACTTTAACATTATTCTAACAGCTGTCTGTGAATCCAGCTCACTTAGCTTCTGAACACAGAAAGTAATTGGTTGTTCTAAAATTTGTTAACATTAAAATTTCCTATAATTTAGAAAATATCATCACCTTGGAAATTCCAAATGCATTTTCTCTGTTCCTTACAGAGTGAGAGCTAATCCACAGATGAATGAGAAACACTTTTGTGCTTTCATCATCTTTTCATATGTTTAGTGAAAGTTAATTTCCAAACTACATGCTTAGCTGGAGATAGCAAAGCCATTCTACCGCTGCAATGTTGAAGAGTTCACCCTGCGGAAGCAGCATACTGTCTGGTAATATTTTTAGCATTTTCCTCTCCCTATTATTACCTCATTGACTCAACTAATGGACCAAAATGTTTTCAAAATATGAAATGTTATTAAGCAGAGTTCTGCAGAAAGTTGATTCATATGAAGTAATAGCATAAGAATTCACAACTCGCTATAAAATCAAAGGTGTAATTTCTGTAATATTGCTTATATCTAGAATTCTGTTCAATGTCAAAAGGCGAGTGTAAGTTGAGAGTGTGTTTGCAGAATTGCTGATACAGAACCATGAGTGCATAGGAGCACAGGCCTTGTAGCTGCTGAGCCTGAACTTGACTTCATGACTAGCAGGTGTGCTTTGAGCCCTATAACTCTAAAATAGCTTCAAAAAGGAGAATAAGGATTGTAACACCATCAACCAGTTAGATTAGATAGTAAATGTTAAGCAGCACATGTTTTAAGCTAATACTATTATCACATTGCCCATGATTTTGAAAAAATTTTGATTTGAGAAGTGAATCTTCCTAGAGCATTCTGACATAAAGGTTGAAATGATAAGGGCTACCCCTCATTCATCTCATCAGCACACTAAAGTTACATGATTCTTGTGACAGTTAAGGATTAATATAGAACTCAAGATGGTTAAGAGATGAAGCAGCAGTGGGATCTGTACTAAGGAGGGAAGATAATCAGCTTGTAGAAGCTGGTTAGGCTCAGAACTGTAGAACACAGTGGAGAGTTCAAGACTAACTCAACTATGCAGAAAAAGAAGTAGAAAGATTATAAGAACAAGTGGTGATGGAAGACACCAAGGAAACAAGTCCTTCCAGGACTCACAGAGACCATGCCAGCATGCACAGGGCCTGCACAGGTCTAAGCCAGCTGGAATCCCAGCACTGAGTGGGGCAGTGGACACAAGTCCCCATCCATAACCCAGAAGCCAACTCCAAGTGTCAACTGCTTGCAAAGGAAATATTTGTTTCCTCCAAGAGTCTCTCTGAGTGTACAAACCACACTAAGGGCATGTCCCATGCCCAGCAGTAGATGGCCAACACAAAACAAACTCAATGGTATTTTTGGAAATTTTTCTGTCTTTAATGCTTCGTTTGCCTTTTTTTTTTTAACACCACTGGTCTTTTGCCTGTATATTATGGTTTCTGATTTTGTGTTTTTATGGTGTGTGTGTGTGTGTGTGTGTATGTGTGTGTGTGTGTGTGTGTGTGTGTGTGTGTGTGTGTGTTCATGTGTATGTGTGTTTGTTTTATTTTATTTTATTCTAGTGTGCCTGTTTTTTATTTGCTGTTTTCT